AATTCAGCTCAGGAGTACACTAACATACCACCTTCTCACAGTGACTACCACCACCACCACCCTTAAGATATTGTTACCAGACGCCGCTGTTTGGACTCACCTTCAAACCGATTACAATACCCGATTACAATGAACGAAGTGTGGGAAATCGGGATATTATCGAGCGTGTAACAGGAAATATATATAAGTTGAGGAGGAGGGAAACAGAGGAGAATGCCATGATATAATGAGGATACGAGAAAGTCAACATGATATACTGTACTCGTATTAAGTGTTTAATATACAAGCGTCCTACATATCCCAGAACCCTCCTACATATCCCAGAACCCTCCTACATATCCCAGAACCCTCCTACATATCCCAGAACCCTCCTACATATCACAGAATCCTCCCACATATCAAAGAATCTTCCCACATATCACAGAATCCTCCTACATATCCCAGAACCCTCCCACATATCACAGAATCCTCCTACATATCCCAGAACCCTCCTACATATCCCAGAACCCCCACATAAATAAGAATCCTCCCAAATATCCTGAACCCTCCTCCCATACATCCCAGGAACCCTCCTGAACAAGAATCCCAGAACCCTCCTACATATCCCAGAACCCTCACTCCCCAGAACCCTCCTACAGTCCCAGAACCTCTACATATCACAGAATCCTCCCACCATATCAGAATCAGAATCTCTCCTACATATCACAGAACCCTCACATATCAGCAGAACCCCCACATATCCCAGAACCCTCCTGCACATAACCCAGAATCCTCCCACATATCCCAGAACCCTCCTACATATCACAGAATTCTCCCACATATCACAGAATCCTCCCACATATCCCAGATGCCTCCCACATTTCACAGAACCCTCCTGCATATCACAGAATCCTCCCACATATCCCAGAACCCTCCTACGTATCCCAGACCCCTCCCACATAACCCAGAATCCTCTCACATATTCCAGATCCTCCCACATATCCCAGAACCCTCCTACATAACCCAGAACCCTCCTACATATCACAGAATCCTCCCACATATCACAGAACCCTCCCACATAACCCAGAATCCTCCAACATATCCCAGATGCCTCCTACATATCCCAGATGCCTCCCACATATCACAGAACCCTCCCACATAACCCCAGAATCCTCCCACATATCCCAGATGCCTCCTACATATCCCAGAACCCTCCCACATAACCCAGAATCCTCCCACATATCCCAGATGCCTCCCACATATCCCAGAACCCTCCTACATATCCCAGAACCCTCCTACATATCCCAGAACCCTCCCACATAACCCAGAATCCTCCCACATATCCCAGATGCCTCCCAAATATCACAGAACCCTCCTACATATCCCAGATGCCTCCTACATATCCCAGAACCCTCCCACATAACCCAGAATCCTCCCACATATCCCAGATGCATCCCACATATCACAGAACCCTCCTACGTATCCCAGATGCCTCCCGCATATCTCAAAACCCTCCCACGTATCACAGATGCCTCCCACCAATCACAGATGCCTCCTATATATCCCAGATGCCTCCTATATATCCCAGATGCCTCCCACATATCCCAGAATCCCTCCCACACAAACCAAAGCGCGAACACACAACTAATACGTTGAAAATCTGCCAATTCTGACTGTCACTCGACACACACACACACACACACACACACACACACACACACACTTACACACACACACATTTGCCGCGCCTCTAAAATATCAATTTGGCTTACAAGACACTAATACCGTGGAAAGTGTGACAGCGTGGGAGACGTTACAGAGTGGGAGGCGTTGCAGAGTGGAGGGTGTTGCAGAGTGGGAGGCGTTACGTTACAGCGATGAAAGTGTAACCGTATAATGAATAAAAAGATCAAACCAGACCATCTTTATATCAGGTTTATGGTGATAACTTTCCTTCATTACGCTTTTATAACCTCATTTGTTCTCCCCGGATAATTTGTTTTTATCAACATAATGATAAAATTCAAATCATAGATGAATGTAGTTATAAATAATTACTTATTAATTATTTGATTATAAAATAGACAATTGTGACCCTAGTTAGGAATAATAATAGATGGTTTGGTGTTTTAATGTATATATTATAGTTATTCTTTTGTTTCACTGTTGTCGGGGTCGGCGGCTAGAGGGTCTTCATTCTCCGCAGTTACAGCACCTTTTCTTCTTGTTTTAACTCGTATTTTTCTTATTATCGATTATCATTTTCCATTTGGTTATTTCTCTTCTTCGTTTATATAATTCTTCTTTATATCTGGTATTCTTCTTCCTTCTCGTCTCCGTAACCCGATTTTGTGTGTGTATTTTTAGGTAATAAACAGCCACATTTCGAGTGCTATACAAGTCAATATTGGTTCGGCACAGCCTCTCAAATTTGGTCTTACACAGCTTCTCAAGTTGACGTGATACAACCTCTGAAGTTGGCGCGCTACAGTCTCTCAGTCTTTGCGTGGTACAGCCTCTGAAGTTGGCGTGATACAGCCTCTGAAATTGGCGTGATACAGCCTCTGAAGTTGGCGTGATACAGCCTCTGAAGTTGGCGTGATACAGCCTCTGAAGCTGGCGTGATACAGCCTCTGAAGTTGGCGTGATACAGCCTCTGAAGTTAGCGTGATACAGCCTCTGAAGTTGGCGTGATACAGCCTCTGAAGTTGGCGTGATACAGCCTCTGAAGTTGGCACGTCACAACCTCGCAATTTAGCGCGATATAACCTCTCAATTTGGTGCATTACAACTTCGCAATTTGGCATTCTACAGCCTCTCAAGACGACGTTCCACAGCTTCTCCAGATATTATTGTTCAGACCCCTATGTGGCCCACCGCTCATATACAGGTAAAGCATGGTTACCTGTCCTCTGTTTTCCTGTTATTGTTTGTGTCGTCTCTCTCCCTCCTCTTTATTTAACCCTCACGTATACTAAAATCAAGATTAAATTAGGTTAAGGTTGAATTAGGTTAACGGTTAAATTAGGTTATGAGTTATATCAGGCTAAGGTTAAATTATAGCTTGATATTAGGTTAAGGTTAAATTCGGCCAAGTTTTGGTTAAATTTGGTTAATATTCAATTAAATTAAGTTATGAATAGATTAAGGTTACTATGGTTGTGTTTGGTGAGGTTAAGGTTATTTTGAATATTTTTGGGGGGTTAGGTTAGGTTAGGTTAGGTTAGGTTAGGTGTGTATAGTTTTAGCGAGACTTATTAAATATAAAAGTTTATTTATATGTTACTCTTTCACCATATACTCCTCGAATCTCTTGTTTTTTTGTTTGCTTATACATATTAAAACGGGTGAGTGTTTTTTTTTTGTCTTATTAAAACGCATTATTGTATTTGTTTGTCCTCATTAAAACGCATGATTGTTTTTATTTGTCCATATTAAAACGCTTGATTGTTTTTGCTTGTCCTTATTAAAACACATTACTGTGTTTATTTGTCCTCATTAAAACGCTTGATTGTTTTTGTTTGTCTTTATTAAAACGCGAATTTGTGTATTTTTGTACTTATTCCGTAAATCAACAGTGAGGGACGGCTGCTGTGTGTCTGAGGCTTCTACAACTTATACTTTCTTATACTTTTATACTGTTTTAAACTCTTTAAGTAAATAAGTGAACCGCGATGCTACCTAGTGTGACCATGAACTCTCTACTTAAGGCTGTCTTTGTACTTATAAGGCGTTTGTAAGTGTATTGTTGTATTCGTTTTGTGTTGAGTTATCTGGCACTGAGGATTGTCTAAAGATATGGTGCCATTTATACAGTATATCGACCCGATTAGTGGCACCTTGACACTGTGCCAGCCCGCCTCGTGGTACACCTTACTTTGCTGCAGGTGTGTGTGTGTGTGTGTGTGTGTGTGTGTGTGTGTGTGTGTGTGTGTGTGTGTGTGTGTGTGTGTTTATCGTTTTTATACATCAACACACGAAAATATTCCAGTAGTATACCTGCTACCCACCTGCCCACTTTGTCATACCTTATACTATATTTCTACAATGTATAATTAGTTCTTTATTTCAGTCTCCAAATTGTTGAATTGTGGTTTTAATGCACACACACACACACACACACACACACACACACACACACACACACACCAATACAAAGAACAAAATACAAATTAATTGATAATTATTTATACTTATTAATAAGTGACACAATCGCCGGGTTGATGGAAACGTTGGCAGCGGTGAATGTAACAGTGAAGGGACAAGTAGTGAGACGCAGTGCGACCCTAGAGAGCGAGGAGGAAGGCTGGCGCACTTGGTATTTACGGTAGGATAACGCTGGCAGCATTGAGGTCCCTCGCCACGCGCCAGGTGCACCAGCCCACCTGCCTCCCGGGCTATGACACACACACATTATTGATCACTGACTGAATTACCCCTGGACCAGCTCCGCTTATTGTATCTTAGTCACACGTGGGCCTCTGTACTAATGCTGACTTTACTACTTCAGAAACACCTTATTCTGGTTTGTGTTCTCAGTTGTAGCAACAACTGTAGAGCTTTATGTCGAGACTCTTTACTTAAGGTAGGAACGTGGAGTAGCTGAGGCAGAAATAGGTTGTGATGTATGGTGGAGCCTCACAGCTGGCGGGAGGCAGAGCGACTTCTTCCTCACCGCCGCCGGCCGCACACGCCCATCTCCTCCCTCCTCCCGCGTTCACCATTTGTTAATGAACCACTGACCAGGCCATGCACGTCGCAGACCCTTCACTGTTTATATAAGTCACATAGAGTAACTGAATATTCACTTATAACGATCACTTATTACATAATATAACGCCACTCGTGTCACCACATAACACTCGTCGACTGGCGGTGTTCCAGTAATTAATACTCAGGAATGATTTCACGTGACTGACTTATATTTTACCTATAATCTAAGACGCCAACACGAGTACCTTAATATATCCAAAATCGCATCAAGGTCGACGTGTTACAAGGAATATTTACCATTTACTTACCGTACATAGTGATGTGACACCTGCCGCCTCGGTGGTGTTATAGACACCAGGTGACCCTCCCACACACTGTTATTGTCATCACGTGTGGCCACCGTCACCTGTCACTGGGCTGCCTGCAGGCCACCTCAGCTGCAGACTGACGCCCCGACCCAGCGTCCAGCGTGTATGACTGAGTTATTATGTTCTCCCCTTAGTTCACCGACGCGTTAAACCACGGCGAGACGATCAAGCTTATGTCCTCATGAGTGTACCTACGAGAGCTGGTGGTCCGCCCCGTGCAACACTTACTTAAACTGCCTTTATAAATCATGACCCGCAGTTTATTATCATGTTAATGTGGTTGTTGAGATATTCTAACTATGAGATCAAGACATTGTTGACAACCATCAACTAACACTGAAGTACTGTGACTGTCCCTGCACAGTGTCACGCGTCTGGCACACCAAGTTAAAATGACTCGTACACTAAAAGCTTGTTGTAAATGCCAGCTGCTACATTGATATGATTAAACGAATCTTAACTTCTTTATGACTATTATATTAATATTCTTCAAAATGTTAAATCCTACGTGTTAAGAAGTTACCGGGATGCTGACCATGTTCATTACTTAACAACAACTGCTTATTTTACCTCCCCTACCCCACTGAGGTAAATTATAAGAGCGTTATTTTACATGTTGGACCAAGACCCACCCTGAGACAGGCTGCAGCTCGTAGCCACACTACTTGTCGGGTTCTGACTTGAGACCTTAGCAAGGCTTGCAGGACGAACACGGCGGAAGGCGACGCGGAGTGCGTGTGTCCTCACCCAGGGTTAGCGCGCGACTGACTCACATGGGCGGGCGCCCCGCCTACCACCACTTCCCACACTCATTCTAGGCCCGCCCATTCGCGTTGCCTTCTTCTGCTATTGCAATGTTCACGAACCCTTCCATATGACCCCAGGAACACATACAAGCTCCATGGTAGAGAGAGAGGCAGCTATGGTGGTCATTCTGGACTGAAAACTAAGGCGATGTGGCCAGGAAGCAGCAGTATCAAGAGGGCCTTTTCAAGCAAGGTCTCGCGAAACGTGTGATTTATGATGTGTGCCCCGCCTCCTGCGCCACCTCCCTGCTCACTTCTGATGCGCCTTATGCTGCAGCTCCTCCTCCCCGCTGATCTATCTCCCCACCTGTGGGCTGGAACCCCTTTCCCCGGTCCCTTTCCCTGCGGTGTCCCGCACCTCCTTACTCTGGCCAGTGTTTTTCCTGTTGTTAGTTAATTAGCTATAAATTCCTTGCCATTATCCCTCCCGCCGGTGCGCTAAGTTTGCCTGGCGTGCAGCTCCAAGCGCGGCCCCTGACAGTAATGGAGGTCGTGGTCGTCTCCGGTTTAATATACTACACACAGAGGCGAGTTTGCGGGCATTGGTTGGTGACCCAGCAGGGTGAGGGCGGCCGTCACCTCTGACCCGGCACCTGGGCTCCCCCGGGTGCCTGCAGGGGCCGGGGTGCCAGTGCTCCCGGCATCCCCTCAATGACCTCCTTAAGTTATGTCGCGGAAATCTGGAGGAACACCACCGAGGTAGAATAATGTAAACTGAGTGTGTTACAACTTGACGCTTAAACGCAAAGGTGCGTATGTATAGGGAGCTTCTTAGCCGTGTTTGGCCGGAACTTCGTCTCTGGCATAAGAAACATTATACCTACGTGTGTGTGTGTGTGTGTGTGTGTGTGTGTGTGTGTGTGTGTGTGTGTGTGTGTGTGTGATGCCACTGTGTCATCACTTCTTAAAACAATTGGATCAAGCTCATTGTTAAAGGCACTTGTCTATCACAAACACTTTTGATGCCTTCTCCCCCCCCAGAGAGAGAGAGAGAGAGAGAGAGAGAGAGAGAGAGATCATCACAACCATCTATCGTAACATCCTTTGTGATATTCATTTATTTTGTCACGTTTCATCACCGTAGCTTAACTGAGACACATAATACACACTATTGATGTCAGCAGGTTACTATTGATGTCAGCAGGTTACTATTGATGTCAGCAGGTTATTAGTGTTGTTAGCATGTTACTATTGATGTCAGCAGGTTACTATTGATGTCAGCAAGTCATTAGTGTTGTTAGCATGTTACTACTGATGTCAGCAGGTTACTATTGATGTCAGCAAGTCATTAGTGTTGTTAGCATGTTACTACTGATGTCAGCAGGTTACTATTGATGTCAGCAGGTTATTAGTGTTGTTAGCATGTTACTATAGATGTCAGCGGGTTACTACTGATGTCAGCAGGTTACTATTGATGTCAGCAAGTCATTAGTGTTGTTAGCATGTTACTATTGATGTCAGCAGGTTACTATTGATGTCAGCAGGTTATTAGCGTTGTTAGCATGTTACTATAGACGTCAGCGGGTTACTACTGATGTCAGCAGGTTACTATTGATGTCAGCAAGTCATTAGTGTTGCTAGCATGTTACTATTGATGTCAGCAGATTCAGGGTTCACACAATGTATTTATGTATGGATGTATGTATGTATGTATGTATGTATGTACGTACGTATGTATGTATGTATGTATGTATGTATGTATGTATGTATGTATGTATGTATGTATGTATGTATAAGGGTTGCAGTTTCTTATCAATAACAACAGGACACGACAGACCACAAAATAACTCTCTAAATTACCTGGTTCACATTTTTCCCTTATTTACATAATTTTTTTTATACCTGTAACACTACACCGAGCTTTTAGTTTTAGTTTTCATGTTAATAAAGTTAATGAGCGTTAATGGCTGGAATTAACACATGTATATAACTTGATATTTTATTCTCTGACGCGTTGTGACATGTTGTGGGTGAGGGGGAGGGAGGTTGCCACTTTGTATTTTTGTATTATTATTTTTGTTTTTATGAGTGGAATTCTCTACGCCAGACGAAGGGAAGGATATTACGTCTGGCGAAATATTCATGTCTCTCGGTCTGTTGTGGATTAAATGAACTGGATATAGTTGATTAATTGTGACCTCTAATCACCCAGTTAAGAATAATTAAAAGATTAGTTGTTTAATTTTGTTTGTTATTATTATGTAGTATTGTTTATATTTTTGTTCTTACGTTTTGTTATTTTATTTTGTTTTTTTTTTATTTAATTTGTGTTCATTATTGTTCCGGTATTTTATTATTTTTATTAAGTATTTATTTGTTCATTGATTATTTAGTTTATAATGTGATTTGTATTTATTACTTATATTAATTGTGGACTTTTAGACATTAGCGTCACTAATTAATCCAATCTAATCTAATTCAACCTAACTTAATCCAACCTAATCCAACCCAACCTAACTTAATCCAACCTAATCCAACCCAACCTAATCCAACGCAACTTAATCCAAGCCATCCTTACCCAATTATCCAGGTACATCGCTAAGGTAATTAAATCATCAGCTACGGTGTCTAATTTTCAGGTAAATTTCACGATTAGTCTTTATTTCTCTAGCATCGTTCCTATATATTGCCTTTACTTACATGGACCTGGATATCACAAAATTTTATCAATTTAGACAAAAGGCCCTCTCTCTCTCTCTCTCTCTCTCTCTCTCTCTCTCTCTCTCTCTCTCTCTCTCTCTCTCTCTCTCTCTCTCTCACGCATCAATATCGACTTCCAGTTTAATATTGTTCATCGTCGACTCTGCAGTGCTCTTGGTGTTCTGAGAATAGAGTAACCCAGGCGAGGTGTTCGGATACTATGTGTGTGGATATTGACGATTTTCTTTACCCGGTTGTCTTGGTTCCTTTACTCTACCTGCCTAGTTTTTACAGGTGATGAGTTCCACACCTGTCAAGTCTTCTATGTGTGTGTGTGTGTGTGTGTGTGTGTGTTCACCTGTTGGCTGGGCCCTTCATTACGTTCGGCAGGTGGGTTAAAATGTTCGCCCATCTTCCTAATTTAGTAAGCCATACGCTTGTACCAC